GTATTTAACATCCCATTTCCTGAGGAGTCACTCTTACTCTTCACAGATGTCTCTGGGGTTGTTCCGCCACATCTTCCCAGTACACACACATTTCCAGGGCATATAAATCCCCTTCTATGTCACCAGGGTAGAACGGCAGAGTTTTCATATGGAGAGTCCCACCCTATGGAAAAGTCACTTGTCCCAGCAACATCTAGCTGCAGCGTGAGCAATATTTCCCTGGTTGTTGCTTGCCTTTTGCATGAGCACCAGCTATATTTGTAGGAATGTTATACAGACCATAAACTGCAGACACAATTTCATTTTTACCAATTTTGATTTCAGCTGTGTCTCCATATGGCATGTGTGTGTGTGAGTATGTGTGTGAGTATGTGTGTATGTGTGTGTATGTGTGTGTGAGTGTGTGTGAGTGTATGTGTGTGAGAATATGTGTGCGTGAGTATGTGTGGGGGTATGTGTGTATGTGTGTATGTGTGTGTATGTGTGTGTGAGTGTATGTGTGTGAGAATATGTGTGCGTGAGTGTATGTGTATGTGTGTGAATATGTGTGTGTATGTGTGTATGTGTGTGTATGTGTGTGTATGTGTGTGAGAATATGTGTGTGTGAGAATATGTGTGTGTGAGTGTATGTGTATGTGTGTGAATATGTGTGTATGAGTATGTGTGTATGTGTGTGAGTATGTGTGTATATGTGTGTGTGAAAATGAGTGTATGTGTATGTGTGTGAATATGTGTATGAGTATGTATGTATGTGTGAGTGTATGTGTGTGAGTGTGTATATGTGTGTGTGAGTATGTGTGTGAGAATGTGTGTATGTGTGTGAATGTGTGTATGTGTGTATGTGTGTGAGTGTATGTGTGTGTGAGTGTATGTGTGGGTATGTGTGTGTGAGTGTGTGTGTGAGTGTATGTGTGTGAGAATATGTGTGTGTGAGAATATGTGTGTGTGAGAATATGTGTGTGTGTGTGTTTGTGTAGGTCAGAGGTTGACATCTTTAATCACAGGCCATTTTTTTTTTTGAGACAGGATTTCTCACTGGCCTGGAGCTCACTGAGGAGCAAGCCAGGGATCCTTCTGTCTCCATTTCCCCAGCACTGGGATTGCAGCCATATCCTGACATGTCTGATTTTTACATAAGTTCTAGGATCACATTTACGTATTTATGTTGCATGGTATCTTAGTTTGTTTCCTGTTGCAGTGACAAAATACCCTGACCCCCAAAAAAAAAATTAAGGGAGGAAGGGATTATTTGGCTCAGAATCCTGGGTCTATGGCATCAGGGAAGTGAAGGCATCGGGATCTTGAAGCTGCTGGTCAGATAATGTGCACTGGCAAGAGCAGAGAGCTGTGAGCCCATGCATGCAAGCAGCTGGCGCTCTTCTCCCGCTCACACGATGCAGGAATGGTACTGTGCCCAGACAGCAATGCTGTCCATAGTGGAGTACTTCTCACTCCCATTAACACAGCCAATTCCTGCAGACACACCCACACCCACAGAGCACCCTGACTGGGCAGTTCCTCACCGAGATGTCCTACAAGATGACTCTGCATTGTGTCGAGTGCATCACACATGGCAAGCATGTTACTGACTGAGCCATCCCCACAGCACCCCCTCCACCCCCATCCAAACGACGAATATCCACTATGTCACAGTGACAGGGGCAAAAGCCACAGTTCTTCCAGAAGATTCTCTTGTGTAGTACATATTTAGATTCTTATGTCCAGATTTGTCTGTTTTGTTAATTTCCAGTTGGTTTGGCTGAGTTGGGACTCAGGCAGTTCATACAAGGGCTGCACCTCATTTCTCCTGGGACTTTCCCAGTCAGTACTCACCCTGGACCATCTTTGCACTTGGCACTTTACTGGATGCGAGGGCAAGAACATGGAGTCGGAGGCTGGAAAGATGTCCCAGTGCTCGCTGCTCTTGCAGAGGACCCAAGTTCAGTTTTTATCACTCATGCTGGGTGGCTCTCATCTACCTCCCTCCAGCTCCAGAGGCTCTGGGGTCTCTCCTGACTTCAACGGGTATGTCACAAATTTAAAAATAAAATAAAACTTAAAACTACAACAATAATAACACACATTTGAGGCTGTGGTGGAGATGGAGGTTTCTTTCCCACCAGGTCCCACCACCCTTCAGCCCCAAATAAGCACCCAGAGATATATTAATTATTAAACTGTTGGCTGATGGCTAGGGCTTCTTATTGGCTAGCTCCCTCTTAATTATTAACCCATTTCTATTGATGTGTTTTCATGTGGTCCAGGCCTGTCACTCCTTCCTCTGATGCACAGCATCTCTTCATCTCTCTCCCCAGCATTATCCTAGTCTCCTAGTCCCGCCTGTCTTCCTACCTCTACTGGCCAATCAGTGTTTTGTTCATCAACCAATAAGAGAAACATATATACAGAAGATCATCCCCCATCACTGTGCACTGGGTATGGTGGTGCACACCTACCATTCTAGCACTCAGGAAGTTGAGGCAGGAGTTCAAGGCCAGCCGGGGTTGTAGACTGAGACCCTGCCTCTAACCACCATGAAAAGATTTGGAGACGGCTCAGTCTGCAAAGTGCTTGCTGTGCAGACCCCATGTTAAACAAAACAAAATGGTCAGGAGAGATGGCTCAGCAGTTCTTGCCTAAGACCTGAGTTTGGTTACCAATCCCCACATCAGGCAGCCACAGCCGCTTGTTATTCCAGTTCCAGAAGATTTGATGCCCTCTTCTGGCCTCTGCAGGCACTGCATGCATGTGACATATACAAAGACTCAAATAAAAACAAAAATAAATCTGGGAAACAAAGCAGGTGTGGTGTTGCAGACTTGTAATCCCAGCATCATCCAGGCAGAGACAGGCAGGCCCCTGGAACTCGTGGACCGACCAACCTAGCCGGCTTGGTGAGCTCTAGTTCAGGGAATGATTCTGTCTCAAAATAAAGCAGACAGTGCCTTATGAATAGCACCTGAGGTTCACCTCTGACCTCCACACACACATGGACATGTATGTAAACATACAGTTGAGTAAATGGCCCTCACACAGCCCAGAAACGTGCTGACAAGCGATTGTATAGTATTGTGGAATTAATTGTGTAATTGTGCCTGTGTGGAGAGCAAAGCACAGAGTGTGTATGCATGGGAGACATTCTGCAGCCCTCTCAGGGAGCCAGGTCAGCTCAGCCTCCCGTGAGGCAATGGGAGACAAAGAGGCATGACATTGAGACATGTACATTACCAGAAATGTATAGTCCTAGAACCTTCAGTGAGGACCTGGGACCCTGTCTCAGTGGTGGGGCACCTGCCTAACATTATGAAAGGCCCCAGGTTTGATCTCAGCACCATCAATGAGTCACTTGGCACATCACAGCGACGCATTCTGGAAATCTTTGTGTGATTTCCGCAGAGCCAGAAGATGGGAAAGAGTCAGTAAGGCAGGGGACTCGTTCTAATCTGGGGTGGTGGTGGAAAGAAAGGATAAAAGGGAACAGGAGTAGCTGGGTGTGGTGGCCCACCCCCTTAATCTAGCATTCAGGATGTAGAGACAGGCAGATCTCTGAATTCAAGGCCAGCCTGGTCTACAGAGCGAGTTCCAGGACAGCCAGGGCTACATAGTGAGACCCTGTCTTGGAAAACAAAACAGTAATGCAACAACAACCAAATGCAGATTCTAATCCTGCCGGGCCTTGGAATGCCACCTTCAAGCAAGGTCTGTGTACTGGGTCTACAAGAGTGCATGCACACAAAGGGAATGTTTTATTTCAAATGCAAGGTGGAGCATCTGGGGTCTGTAAGCATGGGGTGCTGAGGTAAGATACAGCCATAAGCTCTGAGCCAGGAGAGGCTTTTTCAGGAGGATGGTTTCAATACAGGGTTTCTCTGTATAACAGTTCTGGCTGTCCTGGAACTCACTCTGCAGACCAGACTGGCCTAGAACTCACAGAGATCCGCCTACCTCTGCCTCCCCAGTGGTGGGATTAAAGGTGTGCTCACCACTGCCCTGCAGTTTCTATGCTTTGAACATCTGTGTGTCTAGTCCCTGTTATGATATAACCTCACAGTGCTCTCATCTCAGTGTGTCTTGCTCTAGTGGCCCTGTCTGGAGTTGATGTCAAGGGTAATTGTTTCTGCCAGGAAGGACATCCTACAGCCCTGACTGTCACAGGCAACTCTTCTCTCCTCTGCCTTAAAATATAATAGCACAAAGGAGGCAGACCTTACTTTGTCTCAGAGTAAGTTCTGGGATTCTTGTACTCTACAAGACAACTCATAGGCCCAGGATCCTTCTACATTGTTGCTCTGCATAACTCAACATGGTTGAAACTGGGTTACTACCCCATTTGCATTCCAGCCAATTTGAAGGAAGGAGCCAAACATCAAATATAGTTTCCTTTCTTCCTTCTTTCTCTCCCTCCATCTTCTTCCTTCTCCTCCTTTTCTTCTTTCTCCTCTCCTCCCTCCTCTCCACATTTTCCCTGTGTAGACCAGACTGCCTTTGAGCTTATGGCAAACCCCATGCTACAGCCTGCTTAGTGCTGCAATGACAGGTACACACACTACCACACCCAGCAGATAATATAGATGGCTCACTCCATTGGTGGGGACTTGGTTGCCAGACCACAAAGGAGCTGGTCAGGGAGGCTAGACACCTTTGTGTCTGTACAACCCTAGGGCTGAAGTAAAGAGGGGAAACAGGGCATGTGTATCACTCACTAGCCAAGGAAAAGGAGAGGTAAAGGAAAAACAGAGCTAATGCAAGAAGGGGTCAAGTTCCGACCAGCAGGCTAGTTTGGTGTTGATTCTGGGCAGAGCTGAACCTAATGAGGAATCCGGGGTCTGAGAGCCAGAGTGGAGGGGTGGATTTTGTAGCTTCCAGATGGTATCTCGGGGACTGGCCTCTACGATCTAGCTTTCTGGAGTGGTGTGCACACTGCTAAATGATTCTCTTCTGAAGACAGTCGTGGCTGCCAAGGGTCCTTGGCAGGTGACACTGGGTTCTCTTGTCCCTAGGATCCATCCTTCTGGATCTGGAGACTACAGAGGAGTCCATGGCTCGGAGCCTGGGCAGGCCTGTCAAATCCTCGTGAGTACCCCTGTCTCCATGACCTCAGCTCCCGCAGAGGTGACAGCAGCAGCCTCTGACTTGAGAGGTCCCTTGCTTGCTTTGCTTCTCTCCTCCCCTTCCCACTCCTCCAGAAAGCAGTACCTGCGCCATGTCATCTCAGAATATGAGGCACTTGATCGGGAGCTCCCATGTATCCGGAAGTTTTCGGCACCACCCTCTGCCCAGCCTCTCTGCCTCTGCATGGAGACTTCGGTGAGAGACCATCAGCTCTCTGTATGGTTTGGCTTGGGCAGTGAGAGGATCACCTACCTGATCAGAACTGAGATGGCCGGTGTTTAAGATCAGGTTAAGGGCCAGGCATGATACTGTGCATCTGTTAGCCCAGCACTCTAGAGGCAAAGTCAGGAGGAGCAGGAGGGCCAACGTCAGTCTCTATTACATAGTGAGTTTGAGGCTAGCAGGGCTCCTGGGCTCCTGCTCTCTCTCTCTCTCTCTCTCTCTCTCTCTCTCTCTCTCTCTCTCTCACACACACACACACACACACACACACACACGTGAACACATCTGATTGTATCTGACATTAATAGGCACCCACTGGGTACTAGGTACCTCTTTTGGCTGTTTGTGTGATTTACTTTGTCATGGGATTGCTGTCCTCAGTTTCTTGGGGACAAGGCCCTACCCCATTTCTCCATCCCTTTGTGCCTTTGAGGAAGGGACCCCAATGTACCATCATACCACCCTGGGCACAGCAGAGTTCAGAAGCTAAGCAGGCCCTGTTAGTGCACAGGGTGAGAGGAAGAGGTCCTTCAGCCTCTCTTGCAGACACACTAATGCCTGACAGGTGGCAGAGGTCAGCTCTCTCCTTCCCCCTTTATGTGGGTTATGGGGATCGAACTAAAGTCATCACGATTGCACAGCAAACACCTTTACCCACTGAACTATAAAGTCGGCCCATCCTCGTTGGTTTTATATGCTTGGACAACTGTTTCCTCCCTTTGACCCTGTAACCAGCTATCAACACATCTCCCGAGAAACAACTTCCTCTGAGCCTTCCGATAACTGCACTACCTTAACATGAGATCATAGATCCAAATTCTGGCAAGAATCTTCCAGAATTTTAAGGCATCATTTACGGCTGGTTTCTGGGAGTTTCCCTGTAGGGTGGTGAAACTGTAATCATTCTGGTTTTTGAGAATGCCCTTGAGAGGCAGGCAGATAGCTGTCTTCATCCCGAGAGACACCTGTGGTGTCCCCTTTGACAAGAGTTGCAGAACCTAGTGGTTCTCAGGTAGAGCCTGGGCCAGGCTCCAACCAGGGTGATAAGGGCTGAAGCTGTGTGCACCCACACGCAGGAGGACTTCACGCACCTGGAGGTGCTGGAGGCTCTGGAGGCCGAGCTGCCCGGGGCCATGGAGAGTGGGCGCGTGAGCAGTATCCGGTATGAGAACATGAATGTCATCTGCGGGACCGCGGGCCGCAGGGACAGGTGAGCCCAGGCATGGGCGTGGTCTAGGGTAAGCGGAGGGTTGTAGCCAGGGTCTTAGCAAGTGGGGCTGAGAGGAGGAGTCCCGGCGCGAGTGAGGGAGGAAGTGAGGGATGGAGTCTAGCGGTACCGGGGAGGAGAGGACACAGAATGCACAGTGAGGGGCGGGGCCTAGAGTAGGAGGCTGGTGGGCGGGGTTAGAGTGAGGGGTGGAGCTGAGAGTAACTGGAACCCTGGAGCCTGGAGAAGGTGGAGTCAAGGTGAGGGGGTCACTGAGGTTTTAGGCCCAGAGCCACCCTTATTGGAGGGTCCTCAGCTGAGTGGCACTTTGAGCAGAATCAGAATGATGGAATTGAGGGGGCGGGCCGGGGCTGAACGGCATTTCTCGCCGAATCGGATAAGGACGACAGCGAGACTGGGGCCTGGCGCATCTTTGGTGGGGTGAAAGAGATACTGGGCAGCAGAGACGGCAGCGGCGGCCGCGAGCGAAGGCGGTCAGGGCGAATCCCAGTGACGGCCCTTGGTATTCGCCTGGCCCGCAGGTGGCTCATCACCGTCACAGACTTCCAGACGCGCTCGCGCCTGCTGCGCTCGGGACTCAGCCTCCGCGGAATCGCGCACTCGCTGGTGCGCCACGACGATCTGCTGCTGGGCGACTACCGCCTTCACCTGCGCCGATCCCTGGTCCGACGGCGCATGCTGGAGGCTCTGGGAGCCGAGCCGGTCGAGGAAGATTGACGCGTGGCGGGGGCGGGTCCCAGCTGCGCCCCGCCCCCAGACTCGGCGAATCCAAGGGGCGTGGCCTCCCTAGGAAGGAGGCGGGGCCGGCTCGAGGGGGTGGATACTGTGAGTTTAATTATAAAGAATGACCTGATACAAAAGCCATTTCTCTCAGCAAAGTCTCGTTGGGCGTGGGGGCGGGGCGGATCTCCGCTGTCATCCACCTTCAGGTCATCTTCAGGTCCTGCGATCCTGCAGGAGGAGCCCAACTCCTTTCTCGTCCCCTCCCACCCCCTTGGAAGACAGTTCTAGGGCTTTTATTTCAGGAGTTAGTTTTTCCCCCCGTTAGGATTTGTGTGTGTTCTAGGGTTTTTTTTTTTATTTTTATTTTGCTTTGTATATTTTTTCTTTTGCTATTGTTTCTCTTTTTGCTTCGTCTTTCCTCTCCACCCCGCTCCCCCATCCAGCCCCTCCCCCTTCCCTCTCCCCACTCCGTCCCCCCCCAAACCCCACCCCCTACTCCCTCCCCAACCCCGCGGCACCCATCCGGAATTAACAAGCCCTTGATAGACAGGCGCCGCGCAGGCCCCCTGCGGACGGGGGGCATCCGACCAGGGGGAGGGGGCGGGTAGGGGCCCAGCGCCACCTCCTCTCCAGTCCTTGCCATCCCTCCCCCCTCCCGCGACCCTCCCACAAGGTTCCCTGCATTTCCCTGACGTGGTGAGGGGAGGGGGTTGGCCTTCCCCTTTGTGGACGGAGCGCCCCGGGGCCCGGGGGCAGCTTTAGGGAATAGGCTAGGGGAAAGGGAGCTCCCTTCTTTGGCAGCTGAACATGGGGGGAACCTGAGGGCGATGCCCTTCCCTCTTTTACCCACAGCAGGGGAGGAGGCTACCTAGGGCAGGGAGGTGGCTTTAAATTCCCAAGCCCCAGAAGCAGGGAGGGGGTTACGTGCGGGGGAGGGAGGAGCCATGCTGGAAGGATGGGGAGGGGTAATCTGGGAGAGAAGAAAGGGTTGGAGGAGAGGATCTTCATGCAAAATGGACAGACCGACAGACGGATAGAAGGATGGGTGGTCTGAGTGACAGCCTAGTGAGCAGGGAGCCAGCGTGCACGCGCAGGGTCACCTCTCTCTAGGAACAGCAGCAGGAGGTGAGCAAAGACCTAGGATGGGTGCAGGAACAGAGGAGAAGACTGGCTAAGAGGAGTATGCAACTGAAAAGAGGCCAGGCTCTGCAGGGCAACTGGGGAAAGTTACCTAGAAAGACCACAACAGCCAGCGCAGCAAGCACATTCCATACCTGAGCACCATAAAAACAAACAAACAAACAAAAAAAAAACAAGAGAAAGAGAGAGAGAGAGAGAGAAGAAGAAGAAGAAGAAGAAGGAGGAGGAGGAGGAGAAGAAGAAGAAGAAGAAGAAGAAGAAGAAGAAGAAGAAGAAGGAGAAGAAGAAGGAAAGTTCCTGGGGAGAAGTAAAGGGCTTGAGAGAGTAAGTGCAGGGGACATGTGAAGGATGAATGTGAACAGAAGTAGCCTGTTGGTAGTGGCCCCCGCCTTTAATCCCATCACTTGGGAAGCAGAGGCAGGTGGATCTCTGAGTTTGAGGCCAGCCTGGTCTGGCCTACAGAGTATGTGTCAGAGACAGCCAGGGCTACAGAGAGAAACCCTGTCTCAAAAAAACAAGAGAGAGAGAGAGAGAGAGAGAGAGAGAGAGAGAGAGAGAGAGAGAGAGAGAACCCTGGCCCATGAATGTGCAAGGGATATGCTAAGTGTCAGACAGGAAGGAGGGCCATCATGAACGGGTGCCAGGACAGGAAAACGTCCCCAAGTATGAAATGGAGCTAAGTGTGTTCAGAGTGTGCAAGGATAGAGCAGAAAGGAGGGTGGCGAGGGGCTACAGGAGTATGCCTGGGTCTTCGAGGAGACGAAGAAGTCCCATGTGTGTCTGCAGCATGGGTCCAGGGTGGGTAGTCAGAGAAATAAAGGGTGCAATCTACCCCTCCCCCCAAGAAGAAAGGATGCAGAGAGCAAGCTAGCAAAGGCGGATGGCGCTTGAGAGAGAGAGGGGAAAAAAAAAAAAAGAACGCAGTGTTAGGGAGCTGAGATGGCCTTGCCGGCCAGAGGTGTGCAAGACAGCCAGGGGGCAAGCTTGTGCAAAACTGCAGCCAGGGAGGGGAGCGGGCGTGCAAGAGGCAGGGGGCGGGGCAGCTGGGAGTGCCAGGGGAGGGGCAAAGGGAGGGGCCTGGAGAGGTGGAAGGGTTATTAGAGGGATGCAAGTGATGGAACTGGAGGGCACACCTTCCCCTGCGGCCTGGGGGGCAGACCCCCATCCGGTCAGGCTCTGGGCTGACCCTCTATGGCTCTGTCTGTCCCCCTCCCCAGTCAACCTTTCCCTCCACCTCAGCACCCCACCGTCGTTTTCTAATTCCCCCCTGTACTCCTCTCGCAGTCTCTTGTCAGCTGCCCACCTCTTGTGAGGTGCCAGTGTCTGGCCTGCATCCGGTCCATCCGGGGACCTCAGTCAGGCCTGGGGAGATGGGGCAGGGCACAGTTTTAGCAGAATCCCTAGCCCCCTAAGGGGGTGGGGAGAGAATGATGGTCAGAGGGGTCAGAGGTCAAGAGGTCAGCGGGCTCAAGGGTCCTCTGGACGGGCTGGTCCGTCCAAGCCAGCCATCACCTCTCCAGGAAAAATTTGAGAGCCCGGTCAATGTTCATACGGTGGCCCACCCTGGTCACGCCCAGGTCCACATAGTCCTCCTTGGTCAAGGCGGGCAGGTGGGAGCCATCAATCTCATGGTCCAGGAACTGGGCTCGGTGCTCTGATAAGCCCAGCCACTCCAGCCAATCGGCGACGTCAAACTTGGTCCAGAACCCCAGAGGCTTGGCGCCAAATGGCTTGTCCGGGGGCAGCGAGAGCAGGCGGGTGGGTGATAGGGAGCGAGAGGCCCCCGACAAGGCTCCTCCGAGACCCCCAGATATCCCGGGGTGTGGGGGCACAAAGACGGGAGCAAAAGGGTCAGCCGAGCCTCCTGCCCCTCCGGTCGGAGAGCTACGGATGTCGAAGAGGCCCGGGTAGAGGGGTCCTGAAGGCAGGATAGGCAAAGAAGAGGGTCTGGGCGCTGGGCTGACCTTGTGATCCGAGGCAGGCAGCAGCGAGGGGCTCGGTGCCCGGCGGAGCAACGGAGAGCGCATCTCAAATTCCACGCCCTGCAGATGTCGGGTGGAAGCTGAGGCGGATGAGGCTGAAGGGGATGTAGCTCCTGGGGCTGCAGCTGTTGAAGAGACCCCAGATCCGGTGGGGAGTGGAGGCAGAGGGGATTTAGGCCAGTTCTGAAAGATGCTGCTGCTGGGTTTGGAGAGGAGAGAGGTCTGGGAGTCTTCGGAGAGCCTGGAATGTGACAAGGGGTGGGAGTAGGGGACCAGGGGTGAGGGAGAAGGGTTTGGGGGGAAGTGTTGAGGGCAAGGATGAAAAAGAGGCAGAAGTCATGATTCAGAGGGAGAGACACAAGGGTAGGGGCAGAGATGGAGGAGATGGGATGGTGGTAAGGGAAGGTCAGATGGATGTCAGGAGAGAAGGGCAAGAAGTAGGACAGGGAGAGGGCGATAGCCAAGAGAGATGGAAGAAAAAGAACCATTAAGTGATAGCAATAACACCCGCCACCACTTGCTGCAGCTCATGTGTGTCAGGCATTGTTCTAAAGGCTTTCTGAATCACATCTCAATTTAATCCCCACAACAGCCCTGGTGGAAGGTTACTATTATCATCAAGAGCACAGAGAGCTTAAGAAACTTGCCTAAGGACACACAGCCAGGGAGTGGCAGAGCCCAGTTAGAAGTCACCAAAGTCTGAGCTCTTAACCACTACTCTATACTGCCTTTTTTTGGTTACGGTCAGTTATAGCAGAGTGGAAGACAGGGAGACAGAAACAAAACAAAACAAAAAGAGGGTGGGCATTCAAGGGGGAGAGAGATGGAAGGGGATGGGGACAGAGAACAGAGAGAGAGAGTGAAGAGAGGGAGATGAAAGAGAGAAGAAACAAGGGGAGAAAGAGGTTCCCCTCATCCCTTGAGCTCCCTTCAGGATGGCCACACCACAGGGCCTTTGAACCGGCTATTGGCACTAGGTGGCTCACTGCTCCCCCACACAGCCTGGTGACCCTTTCTGAGAGAACTGTAACCAACCGATTCTTGGGTTTTGTGAGAGCAGCACCTACAGTCTAGCTGGAAGGGTGGCTCAGTGGTAGAGCACTTCTCTGCCTAGAATCCGCCAGTGAGGGGCTGGGGGTGTGGCATGGAACTTCAATAGGCTAGGAGCAAGATGGGCTCCGGGTCTGCCTTGAACTGTCTACTGTGGCCCCCTCACCTCATCCAGAAGGGCACACTACTGTGCTGAACATCTAATTCATGCATTTGATAACTACACGCAGCATCCTCCCGTCCACCCGTGAAGAATAATGAGTGGATTGTTTCGTATCTCCAAAGCCACTATATCCACACTGGAATATTAGCTACAGGGACCAGAATTACAGTGCACTATAGACAGAGAGGAATAGTTTCAAAACCCTCTCACTGCATCTGAGTAGAAGACGGTGGCTTTCCTTGAGACTAGCAGCTGCACGTGTGGGTCACTGCTCGGAAGAGACCACAACTAAGAAGTATTTGAGTAATGACAGCATAGGCCTGTGTCTTCCTATCTAGTGGGTGCTAGGTTCTCCAAAGATGCTCTGCTCTCCTCCGTCATGTTGATAGCAAGGGCAAAAGTTAAGTTTTGTTCCAATCCCTTTCAAATAGGCACCGTGTCCCCTCCTTCTATGGAGAGATATCATCCACCGGGTGCCATGAAGAGCCACACCTTCACTTAATGCATTTTTTGTTGTTGTTGTTAACATTTTGTATCTAGGCTTGGTGGTTTGGCTCTGTCATTCCAGTTACTGGGGAGGTTGAAGCAGGAGGATTAGAAGTCTAAAGTTGGTTCTCGCACTCAAAAGAGAGCTCAAGGCCAGCCAAAGTACCTTAATTAGGTCCTGACTCAAAACATAAGAAGGCTGGGGATGTTGCTCAGTGGTTGAGCCCCTGCCTACAACCCCCCAGGAAGAGGCTGGGGTGTGATTCCCTGGTAGAACCGCTGACTAGACTCCCCCCGCCCAGTGAGGGGCTGGGGC